CTAGCACTTTGGGAGGCCGAGGCAAGTGAATCACCTGAGGTCAGGAGTTCGAGACAAGACTGGCCAACATGGCGAAACCCCGTCTCTACTAAAAATACAAAAATTAGCTGGACATGGTGGCGGGGTCTTGTAATTCTAGTTACTCGGGAGACAAGGTGGCGGGGTCTTGTAATTCTAGTTACTCGGGAGACAAGGTGGCGGGGTCTTGTAATTCTAGTTACTCGGGAGGCTGTGACAGGAGAATAGCTTGAACCTGAAAGGCGGAGGTTGCAGTGAACTGAGATTTCACTACTGCATCCCAGCCTGGGTGACAAGAGCGAAACTCTGTCAAAAAAAAAGGAAAAGAAGAGAAGAGAAGAGAAAAGAAAAGAAGGGAAGGGAAGGGAAGAGAAGGGAAGGGAAGGGAAAGGAAAAGAAAAGAAAAGAAAAAGAATTACTGGGTCAAGGGTTAGATGCATTTGTAATTTTTTTAATTTTAAAATTTTGTTGATTTTTGAATATTAATACAGCTATATAGTACATAATTCAAAAAGAGAAAGAGATGAATGGTAAAATTAAAATTCTCTCACACCAATTTCTTGCATTAAGCCAGTTCCCTTGGGAGTTATGTCTTTATATAAATCCTTCTAGAGATATGTGATACTTACACAGGCATGTATGAATACGTAGAATTCCTCTTTTTCAAGTAGGTTTTTGTTTTCTTGTGCCTATTCCTTTAAGGGGAGCAGAAGACCCATGTCAAGATGGCTTAAACAGAGACTCCAGGCTACAGTGTAAGCATTCGTATCAACAGTACGCTATTTTTTTGCCTCATCACCTCAGCCTCAGCTGTGGTGGACCTTATCAGCAAAAGTGATGGTTTCTTTGATTTTCACTATAGCTTATTGTTTTCCCTGGATGAAAGGATAGCAATGAATTCTGTACATTGCTCTGTCTCTGGCCAAGAAATCTCAATCTTACTGCCATCTTGCTCTGCAGTGGGCACACAGTACACACTCCGTAATTACCCTTCACCAGCTTCCTAGAATGTCCTTCGCCTCTCTCTTCCATTAGTTCCTGTGACTCAGACATCCTCTTGCTGATTTTCTCTCTGGTGTATCACATATTGTAGTAGCATCCTGGGCAAAGATTATGTGGATTTTTAGTTTTGCAGACCCTGTTTATGTAAAAATTACTTTACCTTACTTTCCCACCTGATTTCTCTTAGAAATATGAAATAATTTTTATGTTGCTATGCTGCCTTTCAATGTTATTTAAATATTGGAAGGCATTTCTGATTCCTTATTCTTTGTATGTAACAATTTTTGTTACCCTCCCCCATGGAAGTTTATAAGATCATCATTTTGTCTCCAGTGTTCTAAAATGTCACAATGATTGGCTAATTTGGTCATCCCACCATACCAGGTACTGGGAGATTCCTTTTAATTTAGGAGCTGATTTCCTTTAGAGCAAGTGTGTCCAACTCATGGCCCACAGGCCACATGTGGCCCAGGACAGCTTTGAAGGCGACCCAACACAAATTTGTAAACTTTCTTAAAACATTATGAGATGTTTTTGCAATTTTTTTTTTTTTAGCTCAACAGCTATCATTATTGTTAGTGTATTTTATTTGTTGCCTAAAACAATTCTTCCAATGTGGCCCAGGGAAGCCAAAAGATTGGATACCCCTACTTGAGAACTAGGAAATGGTCTGGGATGGTATTACATCCAATTACATTACATTATGTTATTTATGATACATATAATGCATATAGTATATATTAAATGTAATAAAACATACCATAATTGCATAGTGTTTTAACCAAATGGACAAATGAGTATTAGCATGAATTACTTGTTAGTTGAGGAAATTGCACATTTACAGCATGCACAGAGGATTGGCCTGCAATAACAATGTCCTCTAAACAATGTAAATTGGTGGCTTTTAAAATATATTTTCAAAATATTTTTGCAGTAAATTACTAAATTTGAATACTATATTTTAATGCTAGTCACACACACATAACATATTCTGCTAATAATGATATCTTTAAAAAATAAAGAGGAAGTTATTTTAGTTCCAAATGGCAAGGTTTTCCAGTACAGTCTTTTTACAATAGAAACATTATAGTACTTTCTTAAATATTTTATAGTGTTTTCCTAATCACAAGTTATATAGCTGTTTCTTTTCTGTGATTAACAAATATATAGCATTAAATTAAATCAAATAGGAACAGTATATATTTATAATAGTGCATTCCTACATATACTGAGTATATGAATAAAGAATTATAAATTGTGACATCTTACAATAGGTATGGCCAACAATAAATGTATAATAATCATTTTGGATTTTCAACCCTGTATTTTCTCTGATAACCTATCACCCCAGCATAAAAAAGTATTTATGACATAAATATTATGGCTCAACTTTTGTGGTGTTATCAATACAAATCCTCCAAGTGTCATATTCTAATGAAGAGTGCAAATAGAATTCCACTAATAACACTTCTTTATTGAATAAAATGTTTTTGTCATATTACATCTTATTTTAAAGCATGTATTTAACTTTGAAAAAGCTGAAACAGAGTCACACCTTTTTCTTTCAGTCGTCGTTACCTTTCAATTTATGGGAATAATGAGAGAAAAAGCACTAATGTTATACTAAGGTATTATTCAAGACTTGTGTTGTTTCTCTGTTTTTAGCATGCAGTGACCTGGAGTTCAGGGAAGTGGCAAACAGATTGCGGGACTGGTTCAAGGCCCTTCACGAAAGTGGAAGTCAAAACAAGAAGACGAAAACATTGCTGAGGACTGAGAGAAGCAGTAAGATTTCTCAAGTTGATCATTGCTACTGTATCTGATATGAAGTTTTATTTCCAATGAATCACGTAGAACAAAACACGTATTTCAGTATTTATTCACTGCATATATACTGAATAAAAATCAGAACATGATTACTTCCAAGCACACCTGTATTATTTTGCAGGGAAATAAGGCATTTGGGACAACTCTGATTGGAGGAAAAGGGAATGTCTCCTCAGAGGGTGTTTAGCTTTCAGTAGAGCAGAAAGAATGAGAATATTCTTCAGTGTTTTATTAAGGTGGTAAAGAATAGAACACCACAGAAAATAAAGGTAAAAAATTTGGAGCGCTTAGATTTTAAAAGAATACAGTGGAACTCCCCCATATGGTAGCCTTTCCGAGATTGCTTTGCTGATGTCTCTATTTTGACCCAGTGTGAAATGGATCAGTAGACAAGAGAGGATATCTGCAAATTAAATAAGTAAAATGCAGAAGGAATTAAAGAGCATATACCTCTTACAAGTTTTTTTAATTATCAGTATAATTCTCTAAAAGTTTTTTTTTTAATTCCTTGGAAATAAGAAATACAAATTGAAATAGGGTATTTGTTATGAATAATTTTATAAACTTTTCATTTTATATTATTTTCATTTGTATAAAAATTTGTTTATTATTTAATACATATAAAAGGATATGGAAGCATGGGCTGAATCTTTCAAAGATTGAAGCATGTGCTCCAAAACACAAGAAAAGGGGGAGGAGTAGCAATTACAAGCCATATCTCTTGGCTGGCAAAGAAGAGCCAGATGCATGACATTCATCACCTGTCGTGATGTGACCCATCCATTCTCACCTGCTACCCTCAAAGTGCAGTTTCTAACAAAATGATGTCGTAAGATAACACAATCCTCTTTAGATTCCTAAAATGCTTTGTTTTTTTTCACATTAAGGAGTTTTCTACAATTTCAACAAATTGTAGTTATGAATCTAATTTACATAGTGAAATAATTTAATGCAGAAGTGCAATTAAGCCATTACTTTTAGATTAGTAATTGTCTGTGAATGTATACTGACTATCCATATATTTCCTTTTATGAATTTCACAAAAAAATTGTAGTATTTTTCATTTCCTGCAGTAGAGTTCCTCAGACTTATCTCTGGATTTATTGGTTAATTTTTTGGCAAATGTAAATATTTTGATGCCTTTTAGCTTGAACTTGCCTAATAGAAATAATAATTCTGTATATTTGCCTCTGTATTTATTGCCTCCCTGCTGGAGTGGGGAGAAGGTTTCTTCCACATCCTTACATATTGATTTTTTAAAGATTCATGTTCACAACTGTTTTTAAAATTCATATCCACTCCCAATATTCATAGTTGAACATTTTTATTGCTTTCTCTAAAATTTCTCCTTTAAGCTAAGCTTGAGTTCAGACTGATGTGTCCTTCCAGATACGGAGATAGATAATGGAGAACATTTGCAACACTCAGCAAGGTGCCTGGGTAATTGTACACATTCACAGATATTTTCCTTTCTAGCTTTTTCTGTCAATAAATTCCATGAGACTCTCTAAAGGTAGTAGATTAATTATAAGAAACTTCTTTAGAGTTGAGTATCTTTGGACAGGACAGGAAAAAGTGGGCCAAAGGATTATGTATACTGCTTGAAGGAGTCAGAGGCCAGCTAGAAAAAAATTTCCAAAGGGAAGTTATTCATTAGAATAGATACGACAAATCCATAGACAAGAAATGGCTGGCTCCCTCAGCTCCTCAGATCTGTGCACCCTCTGGGTGAATCCTTCTTTGGCTCTATCTTATTTAATTTGTGAACCAATCCTCCAATATCAGACTCCCATCTCCTTTCTATTTTTATTTTCCCTTCTGAGCATTTATCAGTTCTAATATAGTGATAATCTAGTGTTTATTTAATTGTCTCTCTCTCTCTCTCCCCCAACCAGACTACTTAAACTCAAAGCAGTAAGAGGTCTTTATTCACCACTGTGTTTCCAGAACCTAGGATAGGGTTTGACATATAGTATTCACTAAATAAAACTGAAAGGAGTTAATGAATGAATGAAGCAAAGAAGCAATCAATATACTACATTGTGTACCCATACCATAGTTGAGTCACTCAGTTGGTGCCCTAGGAATGATTATTGATAATATTCATTGTTTTCATCATGGCAGTTATTACTGTAGTCAATTTGTATGCTTTTATTTCTGTGAGAAAGATCACAAGCAGTGAAAGCAATGAGTCAAAATGTGCATGTATTTTAAATTACATAAGATAATAGATATTGCCAGACTGCTTTGTAAAAAGCCTAGGGCATTTTGCATTTTTACCAGCAAGACATGAGAGTTAACTTTTGCCTTCATGCCTAATAGCAAAAAAATTGCCATTCATTTTAACTTTTCCATTCTGATAAATATGCTATTGTTTTTCATTGTTAATTAAATTTGTATTTTCTTTATTAGCAGTGAATTTGAACATTAAAAAATGGGGGGAGACTAAAAAGCAGTTTTCAACTTATCTGATATTAATGTTATCACCCCTACATTCCATTTTATCACATTTGTTTAATATCTTTGCTAAAAATTTCAATCAACTTTTCTTTATTATATTCATTTAAGTGTCTCTCTTGTGAAACCCATAGTTTGGTTTGGGGTGTTTTAGTTTTTTTGTTTGTTTGTTTGTTTTGAGATGGAGTTTTGCTTTTGTTGCCCAGGCTATATTGCAATGGAGTGATCTCAGTTCATTGCAACCTCCACCTCCAGTGTTCAGGTGATTCTCCTGCCTTAGCCTCCTGAGTAGCTGGGATCACAGGCATGTGTCACCACGCCCGGGTAATTTTGTATTTTTAGTAGAGACAAGGTTTCTCCATGTTGTTTGGGCTAGTTTTGAACTCCTGACCTCAGGTGATCCGCCTGCCTCGGCCTCCCAAAGTTCTGGGATTACAGGCATGAGCCACCACATCTGGCTACTTTTTGTATTTTTAATAATTAAGAATGTGGTTAAGTCAACATAAGGCAGAGAAAAATATTCTGATAAGGTATAGAATATTTGTCTTCAGGCATTTTATAGTGAAGCCAAATAAAAATATATTCTACAATCTTTTATTTATAGCAAACAAAAAATCCAATAACATTTTGTCATTTTAATAGAGAAAAATCAAATTTTAGTTTTGCATCAAAATAAAATTTGATGCTATTGTTAAAAATCTTATAAGAAACCTTAAAAATTAGCCAGCATTGACCATGAAAAAATAATGTTTTTCATGAATCTTTTATACTTTTTACATTTTATTCATTTGTTTACACATTTTTCACATTTTTAGGAAGATTAGTCATTTTCTATTAAGATAGCACTATATTTTTTTAAAAAAATATCTTGTATTTTTTGTTGACAAAGTTGCCTTATGTCATGATTTTTCCTAAGAAAATCATTTATAATTTTTAATTAAATTTTCACTTTATAGCTGTAATTATGAGGTGGATAATTGTAAGGTTTGTCAGCATTTTGTAGTAAATAAGCAGATATTATGAATATAAATTTTATACTTTTTTAATATGCATACACTTCTTTATAGAATATCATTTTAATTTGGCAAGAATGACATGTTTATTAACAGAGCCAAGTATATACAGCTTCTCTAAACTATAAAAATAAGAGTTAAAAGTATATAAATTACAAAGCATGCTTTTGTGTTTTATCTTTTTAAAAATGATCTAGATATTAGATTAGACGTTGATTAAGGAATATCTATTAACTAATTTAATCTAATATACATATAACATTTTAAACTATCAAAAATTCTTGGAGACTTTTTTAAGTTGGTTTTATTAAAAAACACAATTACTGTTGAAATAAAGCTTGTCATCTACGTGATTTAATTTGGTTAAAAACAAATTCATGGTTTCTTTTTCTTTCCTTTTTTTGAGATAGAGTCTCACTCTGTTGTCTAGGCTGAACTGCAGTGGTGCCATCTCAGCTCACTGCAACCTCCACCTCTTGGATTCAAGCAATTATCCTGCCTCAGCTTCCCAAGTAGCTGGGATTACAGGTGTGTTCCACCACACCAGCTAATTTTTGTATTTTTAGTAGAGATGGGGTTTCACCGTGTTGGCCAGACTGGTCTCAAACTCCTGACCTCAGGTGATCCGCCCACCTCAGCTTCTCAAAGTGCTGGGATTACAGGTGTGAGCCACAGCTCCTGGCCAAATTTATGTTTTTTATAATCTCAAACACTTAGTAGATGTAATGCTAACTGATTGCATCAGTATACCTATATAAGTTTAGGAAAAATATATCCAAATAGAATAAAAATGTAAGCTGTGTTATATTTAATGCTGATAACACTAGAATCATAGCTACATTTTATTAAATAACATTAAACCAGTCATTTTTGCCAGTCTTTTTAAAATTATGTGAATTGAATTTTTAAAACATGAGAGTTATTCTTAGTAATCCTATGCCTAACCATTCCATTTTAATATAGAAAACATGACAATGGGCCTGCATAATAATGTATAAAAA